ATGGCCACGATGTGACCAAACTTACTTTTGAAGGGTTATCTGATAGCACTATCCGCCGCCTTGCAGGCAACGGAATGTCTTGCTCAACCATGGCGGTTGCTTTAACACCAATACTTGCCAAACTTGGATACTTAGAGCGCGTGCCATGACAGGGGCATCGAGCGCTTGGTTTTTGAAAAGGCCGGGAAGTGGTTTTGAGCCTTGAACAAGCAAACTTCTCAACCCTGTCTTTTGCTTCTTGCCATTCTTGAGCCTAATTGTCAGTTGGCAGTTGGCTTAGGTCAAGTGAGGCGTATGGGTGCTTAGATTGTTTCGCACGCAATGTCCTGCCTGCTGGATGCTCGCCTGCGAGAGCTCACGCAAGGCAAGCGTGATGTCCAGGTGGTGAGCGCCTGCGACTCGGTTGACCCCATTCAACACATCAAGTTGTTGTGGGGCTCATTGGGCGTCGTGCACGCAGGCAGAAGACCCTTCACGAATCCTCTACAGCAACCCTGCAGCCCCAGACCGGGTCATGTTCAGCCCAACATGGAAGCCACATGCCACGCCCAACTTTGTTTTGGTTGGTTTTGCGCCTTGCGGGCAGCTGCGCCAGATCTTGGCTGTGTTGGATTCAGCCGGGCCCAAGTCAATCTGCTTGCTTTTTTTTGGCCCAAAGGTTTTGAGCCGAGAGGCAGTCGAGAAGGAATTGCAGAAACTTGAGAAATACCAGCAGTTCTTTTTGCGATCAGTTGCCTACCAAGACTGTGGCATCCCAGCTGTTGGTGGGGGTTGGGTCGCCGCTTTGAGGCTGAAACCAGTGGAAGTAGACTCGTCACTCAGACAGGCGGTTGATCGGACGATAGACTCCTTGCAAGAATTTTTGGCTGCGAGCCGAGTTCGCCTTGAAGAAGTTGTTCAGAAAAAGAAGTCTGACATGGTGACTGGTGAGTTTCTAATTTGGCAAAAGCGGGCCGCTGAGAAGCGCAAGAAGGATGACGACCACCCTGAAAAGGAAGAAGGGCCAGTAAAAGAAGACTTTCCCACAGGCCATGTCCATGTTAGCTGTTCGTTGCATGTACTTCGTTTGTGTTAGTATTCTCTATCTCTCTCTCTCTCTCTCTTTTGAACTGTTTGCGCCCAGGCGGGGGGGAAGAGGCAGCGTACTGCGGCGGACTTTGCTGCGGGCAGTGAACGCCATTTGCCGGCTTCTTTTGCCATTTCTGATGAGCAGCAACAGCAGATCCAGAACCTCCAGCAGCTACCCGGCCAGTGTGCCCCGTTGCTTGAGCTTCATTCCAAGATGTTGTTCCATCGCGCCGCCTTGTGGCAAAATAAACCAAGGGCCATGCTTGTGGCTGATGCGTCTTGTAGCAAGTGGGCCTCTCACCAGATCTATTGTTCTGAGTTGCCACCCTTGAAGCCTCGGTCCACATTGCTTGCGCTCTCCGAAAGCGAGAAATTGAGGTTGTTGACTTGCCAGGAGACTTTGGCCGCCAAGGGGTATCAACTTGGCTCCGTGAAGCTGCAGCTTTTGACTTTGCCGGCTGCGCAAGCAGCTTGCTTTTCCGCACCTCCCGTGCCATTAGCCGTAGTTTGCTTAGCCATAGCAATGCAAATCTAGGTACAAGCCGTTACGAACGCCAGCCGAATCCGCAAGGTTGGTCTGAATGGGCTGGCGTTCGCCGCCACAGGCGAACGCCAGAGATTCGCAGGACATGACGACGGGCCACAGAAGGCCGCAAAGATTTTTGGAGCGTCCTGCGTTGAAAAGGTGAAGCGGTTTCGTTTTTAGACGTGCGCAGCGTTCATCTTCAAAAATCAACGCCATGAACTTTGGAAGAAAATCCTTTCCATTCCCAGCGTTCAGCTACAAAATGCGTGAACATCTAAAACAGGTAGCTCAGACCAGTGTCTTGCAATATTGTAGCAAATTTGAGGTCAGAGCGTGGCAGAATAGTGTGTATAGCAGCAGGGCTGCTAAGCTATGTCGCCAACTACCAAAGCATGCACGTTGCGACATTCTGGGAAGCAAGCGCCCAAACCGGCGCAGCAACATCCAACCGTGGAAGCCGTGCAAAACGCAGTGGAGTCATTGAACGACCAACTCAAGGCGTTACACCAGCATGTCGTATATAGATTCTAGTTATCTTTTGGCCAAATGTGTCGTGTGTTGAAAACCCGCTGTGAACCCATGACTAGTTTTGTGAGGCTGTGGGTGAAGCTTCTGACTCTGCTGGCCTTTGTGCATTTGAGCTGTCGAACTACAAGCGTCTCATTCGCTCTGGTGGCGTGTACGCGTGCCTAGTTCCCATTACTCACATTGGGCCCACTCATTGGGTTCATCGCTCCATTCCTCCAGGAACAGGCCAAGGTATTGATGTTTGATTGTTGCAGCCGTGGCATTTTCCAATGCAATGTGGCATTTCCATTTAACTCACAAGTTTTGGTTTCGCTTGTTTGCGATCTGGGCGCCAGGTTGTGTCCAGCTCATGCGCAACCGCCACTTCCCACCAGATGCTGACAACTTGTTTTGGCAGGAGACTATTGTTGTTCGAGCAACGAGCTTGGCAGAGCCCCCCGAGCCGGGCGCCTTTGAAGTTTTGAACGGCGATGCGTACAGTGTCCCGGCTGCGCTGTGCGTAGACCTATTGAGTGATTGTTGCTTAGCCCTGTGTTTCGAGAATGTTATAGCTCCAGTGTATTGCCTAGGAGCTGCTTTTTGGATCAGTTGGGGCGCGGCCGACAAAACCAACAAGAAGGAGCGCGAGAAGTTTCTTAAGCTGGCCAGGTGTGTGCGAGTTTCTTGTGGGCATATGTCTTGAAAGCCTCATCATGTAACTTCAATGAAGCTGCTCTTGTCTGGGAACTTACCAAGGTATCCTTCCAATATATGCCTGATCAACACCAATTTGAGAGAAAAAAGTTCGAGTTGGCAGATGCAGCAGGCCCACAGTGTTAGAGCCAATTTAGCGCCATGATGTCACACGTCGTTCCTACTTTGAGATCTCGTACCTGCAATGGTTTCTTCGTCATGCGCAGGCGACGCAGCAGATGCTCTTACTCTGCCGGAAGTTTGCAGCGATTGCGTTGGTGGAGAACATGCTGAAGAACTTGTCTATGGCGCATACGCCGGATGCTTTGGAGAAGTGGCCGGATGCTGATTGTTTCGAGATTCGTTGAAGGGCCCGACTTGATGTATATATATTCATATAGACTTGGTTTTGTTCCGGTGATAGCCATAGCCCGACAGGTTTGGAGAAGGGAAGATTCAAGGCATGAAGGCCGCTACTATTGGCAAGTGCTTGCGGGTTCACCGCCGCATCATGTCATGTGGAGACCCTCGTATGCTAGAGATCATCAGCAAGTTTGACGAGCTTTACGCAAGCCGACATGTTCTTGCGCATTTGCAGGGCTTGGAGCTGCTGACAACTAAATGCCACATTGCCAACAATCCAGCCGTGTCCAGCCAGCTGCTTCTTCGGTGTGCAGAGCATATTTACTTAGACGTGATGTCTGGTCAGCTTAGCCCTGATGAAAGCAAGGCAGGATTGCAGGCTTGCGTCAACCGCTCGCTCTTGAAGAGGCGTGTGTGCCACTACCTCATCAAGAAGCTCACTGTTCCTGATGAGTTTGGTGGCCACCGTGCGTTTGCAGATTCGTTCGCTTCCATGGGGAAGTTCAAAGAAAGTGGGTTCGATAGCATGAACTCAGCCGCATGGCTGTCAGATTTGCCACCGTTCCAAGTCGAGGCTGTCGCTTTTATGGCCAAAATCTTGCGGCGTTCCCCAGCGTTGGATGAGGTGTGGATGGCTTTGGTTGGCAAGGACCCCACGATTCAAGCTGAGGTTGCTTTGACGTCGTCGGAGTTCAAGCATGCAGGCTTCTTTGACTTGGAGGGGGTTCTTGCTGGAAAAGAGGAGTGGCTGAGTCAGAAGAGGGCGCAGCTTCATCCAAGTCCTGCTGAGCCTGCCCCAGTAGCTCCCCCTGCAGCAGAGGAGACGCGCGACCAAGAAAGTGACAAGCCCCTTGAATCTGAGCCAGCAGCTGAGACTAAAGCGGCCATGGAGGACAGGGCTCTTCAAAGTTTGGTCAAGTTTGATCGCAGCAAGCTCGAGAGCTGACCCGTTCGGCCCGTTTGATAGGAGGAGGTGGCAGACAAGCTGGACCGGGCTGCGTTCTTCAGTTCTATTACTTTTGCGGAAGTTGTGACAGATATCCTTGGCCGTGTGATTGAAGACCATGACTTCCGGAACATCGTTGACTGGTCTCGATTGCGTCCAGGGCTTACGCAGTGATTTTGGCTGATGCATTTTGACCCCTGTAGCCATTAATAACCCAGACGCATTCCCCAGAGCCATTTGCCCACCCATCCCCTCCAAGATGTGCATTTTCTTCGAAGAGGGGATTATCGAGGGCCAGATGGGTGTTCAGAAACAACAGAAATTGAGTCTGGCCCTCGATAATTTGGATGTGCTTTGTGCTGGCCACGATGCTGGTTTGCTTTCCCATGTTCGCACTCGCCCGGCGCAATGATTAAAACAATGTTTGACACGACCTTTGTTAGCGGGCGAAAGCAACTTTCGACTTGGTTTCTGACTTTTATACTCTAGTTAACTCTAGTTTCTAGTCGTCATCAACACCAGCATTAACTATTGTCAGGCTTTGCACGGTTCTCGGACACGACCCAGCAACCCAGGCTTCATGGTGATCAAATAATTGGGTTTCAAGCGCTGCCGCACTCGCACAGGGTGCCGCTTTGTGCAGTTGGGTTTGCCTTCTTATATATAGTGGACATGTTGATCCATATCCAAACTCCCATTCCAAAAATTGCGCGCAAAGGCAGTGCGCTATGTTTGGTAACCTTCCGCTGCTGCATTTCTGTTACAGCATTGCTTGTTGGCAGGCGCGAAGTCCTATGTTGATATTCGAGTTGCACCATCTCCCAATGAATGGCGCCAAGCACTAGAAGTTGCCGTCCACGACCCTTCCACAGCAACTTCTAGAATTTGGATCTACGATGTGAAGCGTCAGCCAAAGCCATTGACAGGTGTTTTGCGCAAGCAGCCTTGGAAGCGAACGCCTGTGGTTGACAGCAAGGACTTTCGCTTTGCAGTGCACGCCTTGCCCCTAGCCTATCTATTTACAATAATCCATGTTTAAATACGCTTTCTAATTTTAGGCCCGCCTGTATCCCTGTGTCACGATGCAGCGTGTTGCCAATTCTCCATTCGCTTTGCGTCGCCAAGGTTCGGAGACCCTGCGCTCACCAAGTCTCGCAAGCAACAGCCCTTGTTGACAGACTCTGATATTTTCATTGGTCTTGACGGCAGAACACCTTCAAATTGCCAAGGCATGGTGGCAGGGCTCAAGAAAGCCATGAAACCTTGCGAGTCCATCTTTCCCAAGCGACCGCTGACCATGGTTAGGCTCATTCGCAATTGCAAACAACTCCTCGTCAAGAGCTTTACCGCCACGTCTCCGGAACCTTTGGAGACCATGCTGGTTGCAATGCCGAAAGCCTTCAAGCTTCCAGTTCGCGTCGGAACTGTAGAGGGTTCGTCTTTGGTATTCGAAGACAACAGAGCCAGATCTTGGACCAACTTGAGCATGAGGCCTGAGCAATGTGTTGCGCTATGCTCTTTGCCGGAGACCATGTACCGCCAAGTTCTGGGTGTGTCCGATTCAGCAGGCGAAGGTCATGAAGACATGGCTTCAGAGCATGAAGGAGTCAAGTCAGACGAAGAAGACGATGGAGAGGATGAAGGGCGATCTGGCCCTTGCACCCCGCCATCGACTCTTTTGCTTGTCCCCTTGGATGACCATAGCTGGTTGTAATTTTTCTGTCTACTTAGCTAGTTATAAAGTAGGTTAACAACTTCGGCAAGCTATGTTATATGCTCGCCAACATATGCTTGGCTGGTTTCTATCGAAGCCACCGCGGCCAATTGTGTTGGTCAACTTACTACTTTGTCGCGACAAAGTATTAAATGTTAACATGTAGCCGAACCTGGATATTAATTTCCAGGCTTTTCGTAAATTGGTTATGCATGTGCGCCAAACAGGCGCAAGCAGGTTAGAGAAAATAGCGCCTGAGACCAACCAGGTTAGCGGGAATAGCCAAACATGGTTGGACAGTTTACAAGCAGGTCGCAAACCAGCGCAAACTAGTTTACTAACTGGCCACACTGTATTGAAAAAAACATGTTTTCTTTCGTAAAGACATTTTTTCTCGAGCCGGAACACGCATTTTTTGCGTTTTGTAATTGTGACAGTTAATTATTTGTGCATGTTTTACGTATGCATGTTGTGATATTTTTCACGTGTGCATTTTGTGACTGTGTTTTTTCTATGTGCTTTTTTGTTCTTGCCAGTCCCATGCAATCAGTCTATGTGATTTTTTCTTGCGCTTTCATTGCAGCAGGGTTCATCGGAAAGAAAAACCAGCTGAGTGTGTGTGTTTTTCCAGGGGTAGAAATGTCTTTGCACCAGTTGAGACTTCAGTTGAGCGGCGCCGACATTGCCGCGCAAGAGTACTTTTAGACTCGGCTGTGTTCCTTGAAACGCTGCAGCCTTTTAAACGATTCCTTTGGGGATGCCATTGTTTAGCACTTTTAAGTTTACTTGACAGTTGACAAAAAACAAGTTCACTTGTCAGTCAGCTATTTTAGAAATATCTTGCGACGTGTGGGACACACATTGCGCCGGGGTGGGCATCCCAGAGCAGCGCTGGTAGAGGCGGGGCCTGCAAGATCATCGATGAGGAAGTGATGAATTTGAGACTATAGTAACGAGTTCAACATGGTTTCAATGTTTTGGTTTTTTGCATGCAGGGCCACCTGTGCGTGGCTCGCATTTGTCATCATGAGTTGCTTGCACTTGCAGGGCCATGTGTTCACGCACAGCTCGCATGTGCTTGAATCATGAGTTTCATTGGTGCCAAGATTGATTGTGGTTCCTGTCCTGCGCCTTTGTGTTTTTTTGGCTGAGAGAGTGGCTTTTGTGCCCAGTGCAGGGCCCCAACTCTGGCTCGCACGGGCATCATGTGTGCCATGTTGGCGGATGCAGTGAAGGATGAAATCTTGCGCGCGCTGAAGATGGACCAAGTGATGGTTGCGCAAAAGGAGCTAATGCTCACACTCCAGAAGCACAAACTCGTCCACCGCACACGATTACTTCCAGACGCGGTGGGACCTCGCCCAGCCAACCGCGACGGATTTGGGCTGAGCCCGCGGGATTGTCACAACCTGCTGGAGAGCATTCTACAGGTGGGTTTCGATTCGACCCAAACCAGTGCAGTCTGCGTAGAGGTTGATGACAGGTCGAAGCTGTTCACCTTCTGTGACAACATTGTGAAGAACTCTGCAGGATCACTGCCACCCTGGAATCCTCACATGCTGAAGTACGGATCTGTCTCAGGTTCCCACCTCAACGCAGCCTTGCGTTGCATTGCTCATGAGGCTCCACACACGGAGACAGGCTCAACAGTGGTGGTGAATGGGAAGCTGTCGTTGCATTTGGTGGACAGCGTTGACAAAAACATGGCCGCTGCAGTGACTCAAGGAGTTGAGTGGACCGTTGTGTCCGCAGTAGCTGCTGCAGTGCCGGGTGTTTGCGCCCTTTTGCAGGAGGCTGGAAACGCTGCCAGCCAGGTGGCCAGAGGTGAGTCGGAGTTCCAGGTGCTTCTCAGGATCAAGGCTTTGATAGATTTAGACGGGGTGGATTCAACTTGGGACGCAATCAAGAAGGTGATCCAGCGCACAAAACCTCAATGCAGTGCTGCGACTCCTTTCATGTATCAATTTGTTGTCAAATTTGGGCAGCAGGATTTGTTGCAGAGGATCAACAGCCGGCTCCTGATGGAAGGCTTACTCACAAAAAGCCTCGGACCAGACTTTTTCAAGTCCTTGAGCGGCGAAACAAAGGAAACAAAGGGGGAAGCGCTCAGTGTGTTACGACATTGTGCACTGGCAATGGCATACTGCTGTGAGGAGAAAAACAAAAAGCTAGGCCCAGGTGACCTCAAGAAGATCTACAGTGCGCAACTCGCAGAACCCATGATGAATGGGCAGAAGCTCATACTCAAGGTCAGGAAGTTGCTCAAGAAAGAAGTGGGCGAAGATGGCGCGAAGTATGAGGCAGTGCTTCCGCATGTGTGGAAGTTTGAAGACACGGTGCTCCTTTGCGCGCTGGACAGAAGGCCACCATCTGTGGCAGACATGGAGAGCGCTGCCTTGGACTTGGTGGACGCAGTGGAGATGACCGTCGCGGTTCGCATCAGCACATGCTGGGATGGGCATAGGGCCAAGTTGGATTTGTGTAAGTCTGCCGCCCCCCCCCCACCTGCAGAAGCTGCAGCAAAGAGCAAGGAGATTCCAGTGCAGTGCCTTGCATAAGACCCATTGTTTTTGTGCTACATGGAAGTGTTGTCAACTGTATGTTTTTCAAGCAATCATGTATACGCGCAAATTTGTTGAACTTGGTTTGTTCATCATCTCAGGCGACGAAACCTCACAGCGGAAGGTGACTTGACGGATTCAGTCCAGTTGGTCAAGGAGATGGGATTCAAGCCTGGCTCAACAATCCAACGTCGCAAGGACAAGTTGGCAGCCACTATCGATTCCATGAAAGGCGACACTGTCGTCCTGCAGTTGGATAGTAGCTGGTTCACCTGTGGGCTTGTCAAATGGGATCAATGCCTCAGGTTCAGCGTCGGGAAGCTTCTCCACATACAGCATCAACACATCCCCCTCCTTCAAAGCAACCTTGTTCTGCATGACGGGGATCTTCAAAGCGTCAGAGCCGCCATTCACCAACTTGATTTCCACATTCGCCTCGCTGGTGTCATGAGTTTTTCTCACCAGCCAAAATGGACAAAGAAATGAGTCGGACTTCATGCTTCCATCCTTCTCAGGGCCAACAACGTGAGGGTGCAAGTACCACTCTTGGCCCTCAATCTCCCCCAGCGACAATCCAGCCTTGCTGGACTTCAAGCTCACCGCAGGCGTCGATGGTACCAGAGTCATTTTGCCCTTCTGGATGGGAGAGGTGACTTTCACGTTTCGAGTTGGCTTGAGGACAATGGCCAAGTTTTTTGTGCACCCTCGGTGCTTCGACTCCAAGG